TTTTTATATTTACTAATAAAATAAAGTGCTAAATTTTTTAAAATATTAATAAATTAAAGAAATTTTAAATCAAAATACCTTTTTAATAAGAGAGATTTTTTAAAAAACTCTCTATACCAATATTATTTAGGTCTTAAATAATATTATTATAAAAAGTTTTTTTTTAATTGCTTATTTTTTTAAAAAGTTATTAAACTTTTAATACAAACAATTATTTTGTGATATGACTAGATGTCTTGCACCATACAATTTTTTAGAGAGAATAGCTATTTTAGGATATACATTTATTCTCTATGATATGGTTTGGAAATTATATTAATGCAATTTTTGTAGAAATTGCAAAGATTATATCGAACGACGTGATTTCACTTAATAATAATATAAATAACTTCTTTTTTCAATACAATTCTTTTATTTATTATTCAAAATACTATTACCAACTAAACTTATAATAATGATTTTTAATTTTCTTACTGATCAAAAAAGTCAATACAATTTTGAATTAACAAATAGATTTCTTCAAAAAATTTATACAACACTAATTATAAATAATCCAAAATTATATAAATTTTATGAAACCAAATCAACAGTTTTTCAAATAATTGATCCAATTGTTTATGAATTTAAATGAATTACCAAAAACACAGTAGAATTCAATAAAAAATATCAGCATTGTGATGAGTGTAAAAGAAGAATATGTTGTGATAGAAATGAAATATGCTACTTTTGTACAAAAAAAGATTTAACATGTATAAAAAAAACCCCCAAAATACGAAAGAGGTTAAAAAAAGATGTAGATGGTCAGCGATATTGCAAAACATTAGATAATTATTGGTTTGATAATGATCTCTATATCAAGCATATTAATGATATAATGGATTTGAGTAAACAAGTTTGTGATAAATATAAAAAGCTTGAATATTGTAATCAAAATACAATTGTACTTAATAACTGTTGCAATGTTAAAAATTGTATATGGAATTTCATTATTGACCCACTATTAGATATGTATTGTTCAAATATAATATTATTTTATCACATACACATATTCTGTGAACAATGTTTTAATAATTGTCCAAAAACAACAGCAGTCGCACTCAACAATAATACAAGATGAGAAATGAATTAAGATCTTGAAATGAATTAAGATCTTAAAAAACAACTAAATGAAATTAGTTTAAATGAAGAAAAATTAAAATTGAATTTTAATTTTTATTGTAAATTATATTCAAAATTTTATTTCAAAGAATATAGATAAACAGTCACATAAATATAATACAAGATCTTGAAATAAATTAAGATCTTAAAATAATTAAGATCTTTAAAAAACAACTAAATGAAATTAGTTTAATTGAATGAATTATAAAAACAATTGTCAACATGAATATAATATTTTAAATTTTATGTTATTTTATTTTTATTCAATAATTACAAATTTTTTATTAATTAGTCTATTAGACCAACTAAATTTTTTTTAACATAACTATAAATATGGATGATTATTTACAACAATATAAAGATTTATTAGAAGAATTACTTAAAGTTCCAGAAAGATTCTCATTAGCTAAAGATTTTCTAGAAAGAGATATTAAAAATAGAAAAATTATTACTGAAAATAAATATTACTATAAATTAAAAATTTGTGAAGATAATAAAAAAAATCGAGAGGAGATTTTAAAAGATCTCAAAAAATATGAATTACTTAATACAATTAGAAACAAAAAAAAAAGTGATTAAGAATTACATGAAATTTATTTGAGATTACCATATTTAAATAAAGATATTAAAAAAGATGAATATAAATTATTTAATTAAATTGAATCTGAATAGAACAAGAACATTAAAAAATCATATAATGAAATTGAACAAACTATTTTTTTAGAACAAGCAAATAACAATACAAATAAGTTGTCATATCTAGAAATTTGAAAAGAACAATCATAAATATAATTTTTCATTTTACCTTATTTTTTATTATATTTTATAAAAAATTAGAATTGAGTATTATTTTAAATATTATATTTAAAAATTTTATATTTTTAAAAACATAAATCTAAAATGAAATATATTAAATTTGATCATAACATTATCAAATGTAATATCTTTTATCAAATTCGAAAGTATTATGAGATGAACAACCAATCTGAAAGTTTAATATCATATTTACAAAAAAATAATTTTAATAGACAAACTTTTAATAATTTAATATCATTACAAAACAAGCGAAACAAATTGAAATCATTAACTGAATCAGAATTTGATTACTATCTTTCAATAGAATTTATTGATAATTTATTCATTATATTAACAAAAATAACAATATTTAACAAAAACAAATATATTATTGAACATGTATTTTATAATTAAATATTATATTTCAATAAAATTATTTTTCTAGTTAGTTATAGATAAATTTTTAAATTTTTCTATTACAAATGATATTGAATTTAAAATTATTCAAGAACATTTTTATTAAAAAGAATTAATTGTATTTTTAAACTTGAATTAATTATTTTTATTTTATTGTTATTTATTATCTTTAATTAAATTTAGTTAGTCGTAATTAATAACCAATTAGAATTTTCTTTCATAAATTTAGCAAATGTTTTCTAAAAAAACAACAGTTTTCTCTGAATTACTAAAGATCCAATGGTATAGAGAAAATGAAAATACAAATTATCAAAGACCAATTATGTTTCCTGATGAAAATGATCATATCACTAAATATACACAAATCAAAATATCATCTGAAGTTAACGTTTTACTTGACAAAAAACAACGACCTTTAATCAAACAATTTAAATTCTATGTTGATAAAAACAACAATATTTATTATAATCAATTAAATATTTGTTTTTTTTTTTTTTTTTTTTAATATTAAGGTGACCACTTAGGCCCCTGGCACTTTATTAGTTCAAACGGGTGGGCCA